ACTCACATCCGGAGTCACATTCATACATATTCAGACAACCTGATATCCTATCTTATGGATCCTGAAATATGCACTCCTGGTAATACATTGGAAGAGAAAACCCAACTGTTCTTGCAAAGGCTCGAAACCTCAGCAGAATGGGGCGGTGAGGAAACGATTTCAGTGGTATCCATAATCTATGGAAAGAGAGTCGACGTGTACAACGAAAATGGACCAATTATAAAATTTAACGAGAATGGAACAGTCAATGGAGTTATACGCCTTGCATACCGGATTACTGCTCATACTAGAGAAAGTTGCAGCAGGAATCACTACGATAGTATTATCCAAAATCTACAATTACGAAATAATAGATCCCAAGAGGTAACAGAACAGACACCCAATGAACGAGGTTATCAGGCCCCGAACAGCGAAATCGAAATATGGCAGCGGAACCCAAGGATTGATGCATCACAAATAAGTAACAGGTCATACGAACATACGGCAATTAATACGACAATGACAGGAAACCCAAACCAAAAATACAGAATAGCAACATGGAACGTCAGAGGATGCTCAAATGACAGGAAACGAGACGAATTAGACATTGCTCTTAACGAACAACAGATCACATTAGCCGCTATACAAGAGTCGCGTATGCCTGGATGCACGTTCGAGACACGATATTATGTGTGGTACAATGTTAACGATGACGATAGAATTCGCCAACGAGAAGGAGGAGGGACTGCTATTGTCGTTCATAAATCTATACATAAGCCGAATAAATTCAAAAAGATAAGTTCGAACTCGTGCTCGTATCTTAGTGACTTCGCTGGAGAAAATATTATATTTATATCCACTTATGCTAGACCGGTGACCAAGGAGGATAATGGAGAATTTTCTGTGTTGATTAGATATGTTTTAGGTCTTTCAAACCACCTACAAAACAGAATCGCAATGCTCGGCGATTTCAATGCCCACCTAAGAGTGGAAGACCTAACGGATAGCGATAAACGCTACATAGGACACAACCTACTACATCGGCAGTCAAATGTAAACGGACTGGAATTGAAGAATCTAATTCACTGCCTCAAACTCAAAGATTACCTCACATTCGCCAAGTCAAAATCCGTCAGAGTTACATGGAGCAACCGGAAGAGTGAATCTCAAATCAACCATATACTACTAAGCGTAATGTCCTTTTTATGCAATCCTGATATCAAAGCGTTCCTGCATCCAGCATCAATCAGCGATCATAAAATGGTGATAGGAATAATTAAACGCAAAAGAAATACAGAAAGTGTAACAATTTCACAAGAAGGTCCAGCCATTCATCCAACGAAGCGGGCTAAACTAGATCTAGGACTACTATATAATGACGAAACCATAAAGGAAAGATACCAGGTAACATTAGATAGAAACCTAGCTCGCATCCCTGGTAATGCCAGCATAAGTGAAAAATGGGAAAAGATAGCTACGGCTATGACTACAGCAGCACAATCTCACTTGAGTTGTCCCATATTTCCTATGACTCCAAGGCGTGAGAAAGCTTATAAACGGTACGATCAAATTCATCACAAACTTATTTTGGATCGGTCGAACCCAGTTTTGAAGAAAAGCTGCGCGGAAGCCAGACGCGATAAAGCAAATGCTTTTAAACAACATTTCGAAGACAAAATCAACAGGTTTCTTGAAGAAACAGAACATGATAATGGATTAGATAAAATGGTGAAAACATTCAGGTTTATCAAAGCACACAGAAGGAATAATGGAAGCAAGCGTGGGAAATTTATCCATATTAGAGACTGGGAGATGAGGCTACGAGAACAAGGAGCGGGGACAGATATTCAGCTAACTGATGAAACTGACGAGCGCTCTCCGGGACCAGACCCTACAAAGGACGAGGTGATAAGAATAATAATAGAAATGCGTAACAACTCCGCACCTGGCCTGGATGGAATAGCAGCTGAATTGCTGAAACACGGATCTGAAAACCTACTGGATCAATTAGTGGAACTACTAGTCGACGTTTTTCGGAGCAACGAAGTCCCGGTGTCATGGGCAACAACAATACAGATACCAATCCCAAAAATACCCAGCCCACAATCGACAAATGACTACAGGCGAATTACATTATGCTCAGTAGCATATAATCTGTATGCAAAAATATTGCTGAACAGACTACAACAGCAACTTCCGCAGATTCCCGATTACCAGATGGCCTTCATGCGAAAAAGAAGCGCTACGGACCAGATTTTTGTTCTTCGACGGATACTGGATGAAAAATGGCGTAAAGGCAAACCCGTCATTATAGTATCTGTGGACCTTCGGCAAGCATTTGATAAAATCGATGTGTCAAAGCTTTCCCCAATATTGCGGGAAATGGGCGTGTCCGAATCATTGGTTAACAGGATTCTTAAGGCGTGTTTGAGTGAAGAGACATCCTTGCAGTGGTATGGCCAACGCACGCAAATAACACGAAAGAAAAGAGGAATCAAACAAGGTTGCCCCATCAGCCCAATCTTGTTTGTTATCATGTTGCATCACGTACTTATCACGATGAAGGAATTTATCCCAGAACTAAATATGGAGCATATAGAGAGAATCGTACTACCGCTCATTCTGGCATATGCTGATGACCTCCTGTTTTTGTGTGAAAATATTGACGAAGTCGAACATCTGCTATCTGTATTGGAACCATTATTAGCATCGATTGGTTTGGAAATAAATACCTCCAAAATCAAAGTACTGTTTAGGGACCCGTACAATATAAGGAACGTTAACCCAGACCAGACATATGATTTTGGAAAATACAAACTAACCCTAGTAACGAAAATGACATACCTGGAAGCAACGATTACCAGCAGTCTAACCCGGAAACAGACAACATCAGATCGAATAAAGAAAGCATACAAAGCCTTCCATACACTATGCGGTTTTTTGCGGCAACACCCAGTAAGATGGCCTGTGGTAAAGAAACTGTATCACGCTTTGATAACGCCGGTAGTGACGTATTCAATGGAAGTGGCAACGGTACTCAAAAGTAATAGGAACTCCCTCCGTAGAATGGAGAGCACGATGTTGTCTACACTAAAAAGAATGAGCAGGAGTAATGCAGGGTCTCGTGAAGGAGAAGAATCTGAAAACATGGAACAGTCACAGCAGCAACAACCACAAGAACAACAATTAGTCAATGTAGAGACTTCACCGAACAATGAACAGTCTGATTCACAGTATATAGCTGTACGGGAGTTGGAAGGAAGAACCATAAACAATAAAATCAGGGTTTCTCGTCTAAACTTTTATGGACACGTCGTTAGAAGCGCACCTCAGGGGATTATCAGGAAAGCCCTAGAGTATAGGATCCCGGAGAAGAAAAAAGTTGGAAGACCCTGCTTCACTTGGAAAACCAGCGCAAGGCAGGATGTAGAAAGAAGCGGTCGATCGGTGGATTATTGGCAAGAGGTGGCTAATAACAGAAGTGAGTTCAAATCAGCCACGACAAGATTGTTCACTGAAATGGTGGAATCAGAATACGAAGACTCGGAAGTTACTCTCAGCGATTCAAGTAGCGATGAGCAACTGAACATCCTGGATTTCAGAGGTTTCTCTGAAGACGAGGATGATGGTTTCCAAGGATTCGACTAACTATGTGATGGTAAAATATACTAACAACTTCCCATACTTTTCACCAACCTCGATCATTATTAACAGGTAAATATTCATTTTATTAAATTACTATATTATACTGTCATTACTGTTAACACTATTATGCAACTAATTCAATTAGGCATATTCAATTGACCTGCATCGGGTTATTATTTTGCATGTAATGATATGGGAAAAGGGGGGACTCACGATTCAGCATGGAGAGTGTATGGGAGCCGTTCTAGGGGTTGGTTGGGGCATGTGGTTCATTTTAGACATTATAGTCTGACGTGAGAACCATGTTCCACTCAAGTTCTGGAATTTGGCCTTGAGACTTGAGATCTGGCCTTCATAAGACCCCCTTCTGTCTCGCAAAATCAAAATCAAAATCAAAATCAAACAATAATTTCAGACGCTGCTTCATATGAACATGTTCAAGCAAAGTGAAACGATCTCAACTAGGTCATACGGCTGGTTCACAGCACTTCCAAACAATTTATTTTGAAATAACCCGTAATCGGGATCGCTGGCATCTATGCTCTCCTAGTAACACATATTCCTAAATGTCCCCATTCGGGTGGAAATGAGATTAATTTCACCCACAGTGCAACAATGAAAAGCTCTTTCGAAATCAACAATCCATCAAACGAGACAAAGTGAACTCAACGCTTTGGTGAAAACGAAAAAAAAAAGCATCCATGTTTGCATGGGACTCGGAAACAAATACGACTCACAAAAAAAAAAGATCTAGCACAGCTCTTCCGAAAAGTAAAATTAAATAATGTTATTGATGTTGACGCTGCTTGATTTTCAGCACCATGCAAGCGAGTAAGCACACGTTACCACAAAGTTGAGGAGCTTTTTGGTTTTTTTCGCGTCGTCGACGTCGAGTGAGCTGTTTGTGTCCCAGCAATTATGTTTGGGAATGGATTTTAATTCGAGAGAACAAGTGGGTGGCGGTGCGTCACAGCGACGACGATGGATGAAATGCTCGAAAGTACTCCAGACGTACCAGCATGCAATTATTGAAACAAGAAAAGAAAACAATGTTTAAATTGAAAGAAAACAGAGTGGAATTCAATTTGGTTTTCCGTTCTGCTTGCTTTTCTTCGGTAGGTGCCTTGACTACCCCTTGTTCACCTCATTCGAGTGGTCGGTTGTGTGGGTGGGATTTTTTGTTTTGATTTTCACATGCGCTATGGGATGGGGACCAGGACATTTGTAGCCGTGGTGAACCGCAAAAGAGCAACTTTCTGTTTCCATCGAAAAGCGGTGACTTAATTTCAAAAAAATGCTGTCATGAGCATCCGTACCCCGACAGGATAAAAGCAGGACTACTCAAGTGGTGGGGGAATTTTCGGGAGCGCACTTACCATGCATGCTGTTCAGGGAGCTGTGCTTCATAAACTGAATCCGGCGGAAGATGACGGTCGCTCCGAACAGGAACACGATGATGGCAATGATCGAACCGAGCAGTATAATGAACCAGGTTTGCGTCAGGATATCGTGTGAGTAGTCGTGATTTATTGGAAACCTGTTGGTGTGAAGAATGGAAAGAAAATGGAATCAAATTAGAAACAATAGAAAACCCCGGCGGACGGATGATTGAATCGGTTGAGTGGGTATTAATGAGATTTGCTTCCTTCCGTTCGACGCTTACCGTGTGTAGCCCTGGTCCAGTCGTTTGGTGTGGGGATCCAGCCGGAGGATGGAAGGAGCACTGAAGGGACCCATTCCGATGCGGGTGGAGGCGGCGATGCTGACGGAGTAGGTCACTCCGGCGGAGAGGTTGGCCAGCAGTAGCTTCGGAGAGTCTCCATCGACAGTCATGTTCGTGAGGACCTTGGAGATGTTGTGGACGTCGTAGCCACGGATGATGATGTGGTAGTTTTTCAGTTTTCCTGGAAAGGTTCATGGAATTAGGATTTATTTTTTGATAATTATTTTATGAATAATTCTCAGTTCTTTTAAAAATCAAAACTACACACATTTTAAATCTACCCCCATATGTTTAATCCGAATTCTTCTGAAGGTTGATTGTTTCTTCCCCTGTAAATTTCTTCCGACCAATCTAGGAGCTTAGGGGAAATTTCTTTAATGTTGGCTTTTCCTGGAGACATTTCCTCGAAGTTTTTCCTGGTTTTTTTTTCAGATTTTTCATTGGACTTCTTTCGGAATTTTCTTCAGACTTCTTGCGAAAGTTTCTTTAGACTTCTCCCGGGAGCTTTTTCAGACATTCCCAGGAAGTTTTTTCCAAGAAGTTCTTCCAGGAAGTTCTTCCAAGAAGTTCTTCCAGGAAGTTCTTCCAGTAAGTTTTTCCGGGAAGTTCTTCCAAAATGTTCTTTCGGGAAGTTCTTCCACGAAATTGTTCCAGGAAGTTCTTCCAGAAGGTTCTTGCAGGAAGTTCTTGCAGGAAGTTCTTCTAGGAAGTTCTTCCGAGAAGTTCTTCCAGGAAGTTCTTCCAGGAAGTTCTTGCAGGAAGTTCTTACAGAAAGTTCTTCCAGGAAGTTCTTCCAGGAAGTTCTTCCAGGAAGTTCTTCCAGGAAGTTCTTCCAGGAAGTTCTTCCAGGAAGTTCTTCCAGGAAGTTCTTCCAGGAAGTTCTTCCAGGAAGTTCTTCCAGGAAGTTCTTCCAGGAAGTTCTTCCAGGAAGTTCTTCCAGGAAGTTCTTCCAGGAAGTTCTTCCAGGAAGTTCTTCCAGGAAGTTCTTCCAGGAAGTTCTTCCAGGAAGTTCTTCCAGGAAGTTCTTCCAGGAAGTTCTTCCAGGAAGTTCTTCCAGGAAGTTCTTCCAGGAAGTTCTTCCAGGAAGTTCTTCCAGGAAGTTCTTACAGCAAGTTCTTCCAGGAAGTTCTTCCAGGAAGTTCTTCTAGGAAGTTCTTCCAGTTCAGTTCTTCCAGGAAATTCTTCCAGGAAGTTTTTTAAGGAAGTTCTTCCGGGAAGTTCTTCCAGAAGCTTCTACCAACTTTTTCCCAAAGTTTTGCCACTCTTCTCCCAGAAGTTGTTTCCATCTTCTCTAGGAAGTTTCTTTAGACTTATCCCGGGAGCTTCTTCTGACATTCCCAGGAAGTTTTTTCCAGGAAGTTTTTTCCAAGAAGTTGTTCCAGGAAGTTCTTCCAGGAAGTTCTTCCAGGAAGTTCTTCCAGGAAGTTCTTCCAGGAAGTTCTTCCAGGAAGTTCTTCCAGGAAGTTCTTCCAGGAAGTTCTTCCAGGAAGTTCTTCCAGGAAGTTCTTCCAGAAAGTTCTTCCAGAAAGTTCTTCCAGGAAGTTCTTCCAGAAAGTTCTTCCAGGAAGTTCTTCCAGGAAGTTCTTCCAGGAAGTTCTTCCAGGAAGTTCTTCCAGGAAGTTCTTCCAGGAAGTTCTTCCAGGAAGTTCTTCCAGGAAGTTCTTCCAGGAAGTTCTTCCAGGAAGTTCTTCCAGGAAGTTCTTTCAGGAAGTTCTTCCACGAAGTTCTTCCAGGAAGTTCTTCCAGGAAGTTCATCCAGGAAGTTCTTCCAGGAAGTTCTTCCAGGAAGTTCTTCCAGGAAGTTCTTCCACGAAGTTCTTCCGGGAAGTTCTTCCGGGAAGTTCTTCCAGAAGCTTCTACCAACTTTTTCCGGAAGTTTTGCCACTCTTCTCCCAGAAGTTGTTGCCATCTTCTCTAGGAAGTTTCTTTAATCTTCTCCAGGATGTTTCTTCTGATTTTCCTCTATCAATGCTGCAAAATCTCGACAATACATGGTGATATTGACAATTCTGCTTTGGTCACTCATTTGAGCTAAAAGTCGTCGTCAAGCCAAAACAATGTCAATTGTCAATGACAATGCTGTCAGTAACGAACATGTGTAGATTTTTTATTAACTATATTTTGTAATGAAATTATTTTTTTTCCATCATCTCTCGGAGATTTGTTATGGTGTTTCCTGGATATTTGTTTGTACTTTGAAAAATATCAAATTCGTAATTTTGATGACTATTTGCGATATTCAAAAAAGTCGAATTTTAGCTCATGTGTGTATGATTGACCATAGGAAATCGGAGAAGGTTGAGTTATAATTCATTAATTTTTTTGGTATTTGGCCAGGAAATGCTCTTCATTATACAGGATTTTTTTAAAATTGAGCACCCTCTTGTTTAACTTAAGACCAAAAACAGATTCAAACCTTATCAACACTTACCGTTCAAGCTATGATTCGCCGGTGGCTCCCACTTCAAATACACCGCTGAAGTGTTCAACAGCACCGCTTCCATATTGACGGGAGGTGCACTGGGAACTGTAGGATAACAAATTAGGCATTATATTCACGCAGCAATCACCCCCACCCCATCCAACGTAACTTACCATCTTCCATCGTCCGAGCGATCCTTGAATTGGACGGCCTTCCCTCGATGGTTTTGAAGAACGGCACCAGAAAGAACTCGTACTCGGTATACTTCGCCAGCCCGTTGATCGTACAAGCCGAAGCACCTCCACCGTGCAGCACCGTCAGCGTCCTATACGTCCCATTGCTACGGAGTATCCTCGAGTAGATGTAGAACCCTTCCACGTACTGCCCATTCACAATCTCCCACGCCAGGCGGACACTGCTCGAATCGGAGGCATTCACTTCCAGTAAGTTTACGACACTGCCGGACGAGAGAGTCGCCTGAGCTTCACTGAGGTTGATGTCTTCACCGTGGTTGAAGTCCCTGCCGATCGTTACCGGGTCCGACATCAAGCTGGGAATACCTAGACCTTGATCGTTTTCCGCCCGAACGATGAACGTGTAGGATACGTCCACCGTCACCGGCGAATAGGTGTAGCTGGTCGAGGAGAGTTTGTAGGGAACGGGGATCCAACCTTTGGCCATGTCAGTGGCGAAGACTTCGATCAGGTAGCCGTTGATGTCGGAAGCACCGGACTTTATGCTCGGCAGCCAGGAGATGGTGATCGAGCTGTTGGTTACGTTGACGATTTGAGGTTTGCCGGGAGCGCTCGGGAAGGCACCAGGTTCATGAGCGCGAAAAAATTTGATGTTCGGATTAGTTGGGGCTTCCAAACGAAGGTAAGCACTCCATGTAGCTTTCCCACTACGACTGCTGGCAACGCAGGTGTACAGACCTTGGTCGGTGCTCTTGTCTAGGTCGTGAATGATTAGCGTTCCGTTGTCCGTCGTGTTGATTCGTTCGGAGTTGATTACCGGATTTCCATCCAGGTACCAGGAGATGATGGGCGTTGGGTTTCCAACTGCTTTGCACGGAAGCGCCACGACGGACTTAAGTGGAAGAGTTTGATTTGACGGGCCCAGGATTATGATCGGTGGAGGTCGATCATCCTGGGAGGCTACGGTGAGACGTGCTCGAACGCTGATCGAGCCTACCCCATTGACGGAGCTGCAGACTACGATCAAACCGTTGTCTGCCTTGGTGGTTTGAGGGATCGTTAGGACGCTAAGACCTTCGATGGTGTTGGACGTCTCGAAGCGATCGAATTTGTTGCCTGGGAAGATCAGGGTGCGATTACCTTCGATCGACCAGAAGGTGGTTGGCTTCGGACGTCCTTCCGATTTGCACTCGAAGCTGGCATCATGAGGAGCTTCTACCACTTGGGGCACCGGCCGGATTACAAGGTGCGGAGGAGCTGTAAAAAGAGATCAATTGATGGATTTGCACTAAAATTAAAGTGTGGAAAAATTCTTACAATGCACAGTCAGCGTTCCCGTGGCGGAGATCGTCCCTACAGCGTTATCTGCTTCGCAGCTGTATTCTCCTTCATCGTCCAGTACCACGTTTTCCAGCCGTAGACTCCGATCTTCCAGGATGTGAACCCTATCCAGAGGCATATTACCACCGGAAGCAGACCTTCGCCAAAGTACATCCGGCATCGGTTCACCGCCTACCCGACATTGAAACGTAACCGAAGAACCCTCAACTATCGTCGAATCGTGAGGACCTCGTATCAGAAATGGTTTCACTGAAAACAAACCCCCTAATCATAAGCCTATCTCATTCCCCAAACATAATTCATTCAACCTACCGTGAACTTTGAGGAAAGCGGCCGCAGACTCCCTCTGTCCAACCAGATTCTTCGCAATGCATTGGTACTTTCCCTCGTCGGTCTGGCGAACATCCTGAATAGCCAAGTTGCCCCCATCTACGATTCGAATCCGTTTGGTGCTTTCGACGTCCAGCTTCTGGCCGTTCTTCCGCCACGCCACTGATGGCTCCGGAATACCTTTCGGGGGGCCGCACTCCAGCAGGACCGTCTCGCCTTGGGACACTCGAGAAGTCTGAGGCTCCAACCGGAAGTCCTCCCGTAACACTGTGAAGCGAGATAGAGAGACAGAACCAAAGCAAGGAAATTATTTGCATATTTTATTCGCTAGTTGTTTTTCAGATAAAACACGCCGAAACAAGCAAAAAGCAGCTTCGTTCTCTCTGTCTGTTCGGAATATAGTTTTAGTTCAGCCCTTAGGAATGCTTTGTTGTTGATTTTCCCAACTAGTCCCGGTGACGTTCCCGCACAGTGAGACACACACACAGAGAGAGATAGAGACAGCAAAAACCAAACCAGCATTCGGTCGTCGGAATCAGATTTCCATTCGCCACTGCCACCAGTTAGAGAGGAATAAAACAACTTTTTTATGGTGTCCTAGCGGCCACCGGACACAGCAGAAACCCCTCTAACGACAACGGGCGGGCGACAGCCGAAAATCCTCCACCGGGGGAGCGCTTTTTATGACCGTCTGCGATGCAAATGGATATTTTATTTGCATTTTTTCGGATCCATTTGTTTTTTTTTTTTTTGGTTTGTGCATGTTTTCTCGTCCGTTGGTGCAGAAATAGTAGTGGGTTGGAGTTTAGTGGCAGAAGAGGAATGATGGCGTTATTAGCAGGCGTTTCCCCGGACGAATCGAGCTCGGGACAAAATATGCTTTTATCTTTAGCTAACAAATGGAGCACCAGTTGATAAAAATTTATTTGAATTATTTTGATTATGTCTGCACATTTTTTACTCAAGGGTTGTAAAAGAGAGGGTTTTGGTAATTTCAATGGATGTGACTATGCTTGTTGATTTATGCGATTAATAAATAAGGGCAGTGGATTGATTTTGGTTTAGAATTGGTCGTGGTAAAGGTTATACAGTGGGTTGGGAATTTTTAAGATTAGATCCATTCTATTAGCAACTGTACCAGAGTAGTGACTATATAGGAAGTACAACCGGTTTCTGTATTGCTGATATGTATTCCGTACACAGGCATCCCATCGCAGTAATCCGAAGCATTTGTCGTAATTTGTCAACTCTAAAGCCGCTAACCCAGAACCCAGTGGAACCCAGATCCTCCCATTGATTAGCCAAACCGTTAATCCATGATTCAAACCACCATGCATGTTTCACTGTCTTCGTTCACAAATAAGATTTAGGTAGCGATAATAACGAAACCCATAGGCGTAACTAGGATATTGAGCCTTGAGGCAAAAATCCATCGGTAGTATAGGAGAGGGGATTACTTTATCCTATTATTTTACTGCGGTAACAAATTTATCAACTATTTATCGAAAAAAAAAATCCATAAGGAAAAAGACGAACCAGCCCAAGGCTAAATATCTCTCTAATTAGACGGGAACAAATCACAAGCTTTTTTTTGTCACTCGATGCTCTCACCAGTCGAGGTGAATAAAACATTCATAATTCGTTTTACATCACATCAAAACCGTATATTTCAAGCGTTTACAATTATTTAGAATTCTTAGCCTTCACTTTAGTCTTATACTTCTTTGAAGACGTGCTTTTTTGACAATAATGCATAACAGAAGCCACAAATTACCCGCGATTAATGTGTTGAGATGCTTCAAATGTGGAGAATTTGGGCACAAGAGCATGGATTGCAAAAATTGTGAGAGATGCTCTAGGTTCAGCCAACAACACAAAACGTCGGAGTGTACGTCAACTGTATTGAAATGTATTAATTGTTTGAAAATGAATAATGAACTTGGACGTCAACTATGCCGCATTTAGCCTTATGTTGACGTTTTAGAGAACTGGCTCGAGACATTCCTTGATTCTAGTAAATAAAATATATTGGCTGGTGATTTTAATATTAATTGGCGTGATAACCATAATTCGAATCATTTTAATCGTTAGCTGAGTTTTTTAATTTAAAGCAAACGGTAAATGAGTATACGCGTATTTCCAGGCACAGTAGAACTTTAATTGACCACGTTGATTCCAATTTTGATTCCATTTGTTCAGTTACGGATACTGATTTGAAAATAACTGATCATCCACGCTCCTCTCAACAAGATTCGAAACAGCTTGCTTCGAATATTTCTTCCAGCACTTCAATTTTACAAAATTATCGTTATCGTTAACATGGTCTAAGACATTAATCACTAAGGTCTCATGATTCATGAGACCTTAGTGATTAATGTCTTAGACCATGTTAACGATAACGATAATTTTGTAAAATTGAAGTGCTGGAGGAAATATCCGAAACAGGCTGTTTCGAATCTTGTTGAGAGCAGCGTGGATTTTCCATTCGCGGCCGGTAACTTAGATGAATCTACAGCTGTTCTTAATAACGCTTTGAAAACGTGTACTAGTTGAGCAAAAGTTTGTTTCTTTAAAGAACTCGAACAGCTGGTACAATTTGGATCTTTTGCGTCTTAAACGGAAAAGGGACAAATGGTACAAAAAGTTGTGTAGATCAAATAATGACAATCATTGGAATAGGTACACAATCGCGCGTAATAAGTATTCACAATCGATAAAGAAAACTCGATTTAAATATGTACAAAGGAAGATTGATCAGCATTAAAACAACAGCAAAGAGCTATCGAAAATTTTGAAATCTTTATTAAAACCTAGTAATTGCAAACCGCGGTCCATAACTTTTAATGGCACATTAGAACAGTCAGAACAAGTAATTGCAGCTAAGTTTAATTATTATTTTGTAGACAGTGTTTCATTGATCAATCAATCCATTGAATTGGTCGATGAACCTGGCGAAATAAATCAGCCAGTTAATAATAGTTGTAGATTTGAAGTTTTTCACCCAATCACATTAGATGAACTTAGAGTTATTTGTTTTTCATTAGGAAAATCGGCTGGAGTAGATAATGTTAATGCTAGAGTTATTCAAGATTGCTTTCATGTCATTGGCCACATCTTGCTGGACCTTATTAATGAATCATTACAAACTGGACATGTACCACAAATTTGGAAGAAATCCTTAGTGGTCCCAATTCAAAAAGTTGCTGGAACGATTAAAGCCGAAGAGTTTCGTCCCATCAACATGTTGCACAAATTAGGGAAAATGTTAGAACTTGTTATTAAAGGCCAGCTGTTGGAGTATTTAAATAGTAAAAGTTTGTTGATACCAGAATAATCGGGATATCGGGAAGGTCATTCTTGTGAAACCGCGTTGAATTTGGTATTAGCGAAGTGGAAAAATAACTTGGAGTGTAAAAATATGATTGTTGCTGTTTTTTAGATCTTAAACGCGCTTTTGAAACAATTTCTAGGCCCTTATTGTTAAGATCAATCAAGCGCTTTGGAATTACGAATGCTGCATAAAAATGGTTTGAAAACTATTTGTCTGACAGAACTCAACGGACTTTTTTTTAATGATTATGTTTCCAGTCCCATGGGAATAACCTTGGAGTGCCCCAGGGAAGTGTATTAGGGCCCCTGTTATTTATTATATATATATATTAATGACTTGCAGTTACATAAAATTTCATTACATTACGTTTTACGATTTTGCGACATTAATCTTTTTGCAGATGATACTGTGATTTAGATGATGCCGTTTTACACTTGAATGAAGATTTGCGTTCTCTAAGCAGATTGAAGTGTAAGCAGTTGAAATTGAATACAAGTAAAACTAACTTTATGGTTATTTTGCGGAATCAAGTAAATGAGAAGGTCTCTGTTGTAAATGATGATGAGACTATTGATCGCGTTCGGGAGATTAAATATCTTGGCGTGATTATTGATGACGCACTTAAGTTCAACTCTCACATTAACAATGTCATCAAGAAAATTGCCAAGAAGTATATGGAATTCTATGTCGACTGAAAAACGATTTAACTATTGCCAGTAAAATACAGCTATACAAATCAATCATCTCTCCTCATCTAGACTTTTGTCCTTCCATTTTATTTCTGGCCAATGCAACACAAATATCGAGATTACAGCGCTTGCTGAATAAAATAATGCGTTTGATTTTGAGATGATTCACTTCCTCAACTTTGATGCTAGACGCCTTACAATGGTTGTCGGTGAAGCAAAGAATTGTATATTTGTCTATGGTGTTCATTTTTAAAGTAGTTAACGGTTTGCTGCCTCGATATTTGTGTGATCGAATTGAAAGAGGAAGTGGCTTTCATAGATATAATACTAGAAACGCGGTTGAAATAAATACCCCACATTTCTTGACTTGTGCTTCACAAAATTCATTATATTACAAAGGAATAAATGTTTTCAATTCGATGCCTAGACATACCAATCGTTCAGCAACACTTACACAATTTAAAAGACACTGCATTTCACACGTTAAAAGTGTCTTTTGAACAGTTATCCAGTGATTTTTATTATGAATTGAAATGATGTATCTTGACGAAGTTATCTCTAACTGATTATGTTGTATGGATAGCTGTAATAACGACTTTTTTAATAATTATTGTAGCACTGCAAAAACTATTTCTGTTCGCCACGATGGTGATGATGGATATGGATTTTTAATATTTGATTTAGTAATAGTAGGTTCATTAAAAAAGGTAGCCTACAAAGGTTTGAGCCTCGCGCGCGTATTAAGGATATAGAGGACTGAATTTAACATTTGATAAAAAAAATGCAATTTTGAAGTTTATTTGGAAGATACCTTGAGTTAGTAGTAAGTTTTCTGGCAAATGTTGGGGGTTCGTGAGCATTCCTGACATTGCTGAAAATTATGATAGCATCAGATTGCGGGGTTGCTGTGTAATAAGATGCTTTGTTGATTGAGATTTTAGCAGTCACGTTTTGTTTGTAGTTTATATTTTATTTATTTCGTGTAATTATCGTAAATAATAAATATTCAATAATAGATAGTTCATCCATATATTCGAACTTTTACGCGAAGCGCTGTGGATTATAAGATGCTCGATGACCCTCGAGGGATCGATTTTGCTTACTGAGCAGAAAATCATGGATTTACCCCCAAGCTCTTCCACAGCACAATAAATCGCCACCATCATTTGTATATTTGATATTGAACATTAACCTCGGAAACTATTTGCATATCAAGCGAAAACGTAGTCCTGTATTGTCGCGAAGCG